TTGGGCTTTTTTAGACGAGTCGCTGGCCTTACGCTTCTCGACATGGTCCGGAATAGTGACATCCGGAAAAGCCTTGGCATACAACCTTTGCTTCTGCAGATTGAGAAGTCACAGCTGCGATGGTTTGGCCATGTGTTGCGAGTGGCTCCACTCAAACAACTGTTCCTTGCAAATCCGACCGGTAGAAGGCCCAGAGGACGGCCAAGATTAACCTGGTGTAAATATATGGTAGGAGTCTGTTCCAGAGTCCAGTTGTATTCTACCGAAGCTCAGACTCTGGAATAGGATTGGGGACGGTCAAAGCACCGTGCTCTCCAACGTCTCTGCCTCTTCCACCCGAAACTAGAAGCAGTTAATGAAGATGAAGATGAAACTGGACATAAAATCATTTTCTATATCTGTAAGAGAACAGCGGAGTTATTTTATTTCCGGCTTGTCCCTCGTGATATAGGGTTCAATGACCGGAGTTTTTGCACGTCGAACACTGGGATAAACCAAGGCGTAGATTAATAGACCTTACTACTTCCAAGTCCAACGGAAAGTTACGTTGTCATGTAACTATTCTTCGCTGCCACGAGGATCAATTACTACTACTAGTGCCCCTTAGTTTAATCTGGGACTCTAATCGTGCTGTGCTGTAATTTAAAATGACACCAGGAAGCTGTTCACGGATCACATCGAAAGCAGAGTCGAGTTCCATGTAATGACAGCATGCTCATTAACCTAAATGCTTGGCGTTTTTCGCCATTCCGGGAATGGCAGCAAAATTGGCCATGATATCCAAGCAATTTCAATCAAAATGATTCACGCAAATTTTTTGGCCAGGTAACCGTTGTTTTATCGGCTTGACATTAAGGAACTACGTATCAGGCAGTCCCTTCATGCACTACTTGCCTCCGAGTATCTTACGCACACTTGACCAAGCGAATATCCGTCACTTCTACGAACGAGAAGACGGCAATTTTTTGATCGATGCTGTCGCGTCGGTATACTGTACGGAGAAACAAGACGAACCGTTTTGTTACTGACCCATTTCGTCCCATACTTGAGTCGATGTCCTCCGTTCAGGGGCAAGCAGCAGAATGAAACAATTTTGGCATGATTTCTTTAGCACGTAATGCATGCAAATTGCCGCATCTCCCCACTCAGTCCTGAGTGACATTCACTCAGACCACATCGAGTCAAAGGAAATACGCAGCTACGATAGTTTCTGATATTATTTCCACGCCTACGCGTTGGTTCAGGGTTTCTAACCGCCTTTCGTGGCTCCAGGTGCGTCTGAAGGGTATGCACGTTGCAATGTAGCAGTTCTCTTGGACGTTTCTGTGCTTTGATTGTTGCCAATCCATCTGCCAGGGGACACCTCGACTGAATTACGGAAGAGCAATACCACTCGATGTTCAGTCAAAAGTTCTGCACGGTTAAACGCTTTTAGTGAGAAAGGAGAGAATTTCTTTAGCTGCTCAGTCGATCATCTTCTCTGATGTCTTGCTTTCACACCTGTCATACATGATTTCGCGCTGTGACATTTTGTAGCTTGAAACAACAGCAAGTTAATAACCAAATTTTGCGTTTCCTCATTACCATCGTCGTGGTTGCCATCCTTTGTTGTGACTGAGGGACATCATGTACGATCAGGCTTTCAGTGGTGATTAAATTGAGCCATGGCTGCGAGTCTTTCCGCCTGTTTTGGCGCCTAATCGGTCTTACGGTGAACAGACTGGCATTCAAGGACATGATATGCTCGATAGACAGCGATTTTGCCAGGTTTGTCCCCATTTAGGAATTCTCCGTTAGCGCTTGGGTTATCGCAGAAGCTTTGGAGTATATACGAATCATACGCCGCCCTTTTACGTGATCCGGTTCTTTGGTCATTTGCGCTGCATCTGGAAATCTCGCATTTCACCAGAAAATAAATATAGGTTATCCCAAGTGGAAATGGAAACTTTCTTTTGTTAGCAAATCGGGAATGTCGTAGATACCTTG